TCAAATCTTAATCCCCATCCTGAGCTGGGTGCATTCCAAGCCCACCTGGAACAGGTCAAGACGAGCCTGGCCATGGCTGGCCCTTCATTTCCCCTGGCAGGAGATTAGATGGGGCGCCCATTAATCACTCATTACTTGGGTCCTCGATGCTGGCCAGCCCTCAGGCAGCCAGCCAGCTGCCTGGGAGGGTGGGGCAGGCACCGCCCCTGCCCAGCGCAGGTCCTGGGCCTCCCAGTGCCACCCTTTTGGGACAAGATACCACAGTGCAAGCCTGGCCCTCTACCATCTGGACCATGTCCAAGAGGAGAGGGGTTAAAGGGCAACACTACCAGGGTACCACTAAGCAATCAGTTTCAGCATGGCACATCAGAGGGCACTGTGCATTGTGCAGTTAGTTGAAAGATTAGGTAAAAAGAAGACATAGGTGGAAAGAGACCACTGTCCCAGGACAACTAATCATTAATAAAGAAAACTGCTGCCCACTGCTTCTTAAATTCTTGGAGGAATCTGAAGAAAAACTGGAGAGAGGAGAGGATGTTGAATGGAGAATTCTTTATTATTATTACTGCACAGCTAGGACTGTTCATTTGCTGTGTTTCCATATAAGGTTGCAACAGTCAGCCCTTTAGACACAAAAATCCTGGACCTGAGGGGGCTTAAGATTATATATTTTTTTACAGCACAGATATTGAGCACCAAGATCCTGCCACGCACTGACCAGGTACAGAGTAGATAAGAGAAATGGGATGAGAACAGACACTGAGCACCTGCCATCTGCCAGGCATTTGCCTAACGCTCTGCATGCTGTGCACTGGTCCCTACACACCCTCCGGGCTTTGTCCATTCCTTTGTTACAGCTGAGGAAACAGAGGCTGGCGACTGGAGAGGGGCAAAATAAAAGTCTCTAGAATGAAGGGTACCTGTCAATCACCAGACCCCATGCTAGTGCCACTCACCATACCTGGAGGGCATGGCTGGCAAGGTGTGGTAGGCCCTATTTGGGGAGTTCTAGCCCATTTCTCGCCCCAGGAAAGTTGAGGCTCCCAAAAAACCCACCCTGATCCTTCTCCCTCAGCACTTGCTCAAGCTCAGGAATAAATTCACAATGAGCCTGATGGAGGCAGGGCTTCCACGCCTGCTCCCATGGGGGTGTGGGGAGCCTGCTTTCAGGGTGCACTGAAGACCCCCTTCACCAAAAGAGGGCTCTCCACCTGGCCCGGGCCGCGATGCATCCTTGCTCACCCCCTTATCAAAGGTCCCTGTTAAAAAGGAGCATGCTACCTGGGGGAAAGCGGCTTATGAACTGACCACCTGACACTAGCCCCTCATTGTAAAGGCAGCCCAGGGCAATCGTCCTCAACCTGAACCTTCAGAAGAACCACCTGAGACAGTCTTAAAAATGCTAACTCCTAGGCCCTGCCTCCACCCTGGAATCTGTTTTGTTTTTGTCCCTCCTCCCCACACCCCACCCTCTCACTGCCGCCAGATCCTAACTCTGATTCAGATGTTCTGAAGAAAACGCTTTCAGGAAAGAGCACCAGACTTAGAGACCTGGGTTCTAAGATTTAGGTTCAAAACCTGAGTTGTTGACATCAGGCAAGTAACCGGACATTAGCATTCATATCCTTATAAAATACGAATGCTAATGTCTTCGTCATAGGTTGCTGGGAAGATTAAAGCACCAAGTACAGAACACAGCCCTGCTCATTGAACATAACCTGAATGAGTTCATCAGGCCAGTGGGGCTCCAGAAACCAGAGAAGACAATTTTGGTGAGTTGGGGAAAGAAGAGAGGGCAAAATAGGCCCAGGAGATGAGGGGGACCCTGAAAGGGAGCAGGAGTCAGAAGAGGCTAAAGCCAGAGCCTCCCACAAAAGCCCCCCATACCCAGCATCAGCCTGTGCTAGCCTGTATCATACGTTAGCTTTTAACAAAACATTTCTAATCCATTATTTTCAGAGAAGATAGCCAATACATATACACATGCAGCCTTTATATCCACATATACATAAATATGTGGATACAATTCTGTGTACACACACACACACACACACACACACACACACACACACGGAAAAAGGGAGGAAGTGTGGAGGAAAGAGGAGAAAGATGGGAGAAGTGAGATGGCAGGTCAAACCCAGTCAAGTCACAGTGTCGACTTTGCTGTGCTGGTGATGTGATACCCCCTTGGAGAGGCCCAAGGAGAGACCAACTACTGCTTGCAGAAGCTTCAGGGTGTCTGGGAAGATGGGGCTCGCCCACTAGGACATGTCCAGGCTGAATACAGAGTCAGTGCAAATAATGCAGGAGAGTACAGAGGGGATTCTGGGGGTGGGGAGGGCAAGAAGGCTGGGATTCACTTCTTGGCAGGGTCTGGATTAGTAGAGGGGACATCTGAATTTCTGAGCCACAATAAAGAGAATGGGTAAGAGGAGTGAAGGGTTTCAGGCAAGAAAGAATTGGGGTGCTCTTGGATCAATAAAGCAGACTGGAAATTAAGCCAGTTTTAAATGCCCCAATAAAGAATGACCTTGGTTCAAGCTGTCCATAAAAGTACTTTCATATCTCCAGGGCTTTGCTCAAGCTCTTCCCCCTAACAGGAATTCCTCCTCCTTCCAGCCTTTTCCATCTCCTTGGAGTCCTCCTCATGCTTCAAGCCCAGCTGTAACCTTCCTAGCTCTTCCCGTGCAGAAAAACAGTCTCCCTCATCTGTGCCTCCTTGATGGTTTGCACACCCCCAATATTCTGCATTGTTTTGTGGTTATTTCTTTATGTCTCTTTCTCTCCCAGGTGGCCATTAATCATCTGCTAGCCTGTCAACAAACTGAGGGCAAGGATATTGTCTTGTTCTTCCTGAAGCTCCAGCATATAGTAACAGTCCCTGGCACAGCAGATACTCAGCATATCTGCTGGCGACAAATTAAACAGAAATGAATATGGGGGTTGGGGTGGAAGGCCGATTTTGATTTCTTGAGAGGAATGATGTGGTGAAATCAGAATTTTAGGAATATTAATCTGTCAACATAAAAGAAGATGGATTAAAATGAAAAAAGAGACTCATGGCCAAGAGTCAAGAGAGGAGATTATCACTGTAATTTGGGGCAAAGGGAATGGAGACAGAAAAATAATTTTCTGAGATATCACAAAAGAATGTAGAAGGGACTTTGGTAATGAATGAGCTATAAACGTGGGGGATAAGGTGGGGGTAGTCTGGACCACTCAAATATTGAGACCCCTGGACAACTGGGAGACAAGTGAGAGAAAAATGTGGTTGATCAAGGAGAGGGGTGATGCCTGGCCTCTCTCTAGGATAATGTATTGCAATTACAAGCATTTCTCAGCAAAACAAAGAACAAAACCCACAACACCTCCAAATCACAATTTCTAACTCTGATCTTACTCCCCAACTCTGGCTTGTATTTTATTTATTTTTTCCTAGCAGTCATTTAGAAACATTTCTTCATGGCAGGGGAAACTGAGATAAAGATAAGACCCATCTGGTGCCCTGTTCAGTGCTGGGCATGGATGAGCCCACCAACCCTCCCCGCAAAAGTCCAGTGGGATGCACTGCTCATTCAGTGTGCACTCCAGTATTCTGATCACCCTCTCTTCCTTCCCGTGCCCAACCTCTGGGAAACCCCTGTTCCAGCCCTGCAAAGGTTTACAGGAAAGTCCCAGGACTCCTGTCTGCTTCCTCGCATTAATTCCAGGGCGAGGATTTTGTTTTCTAAAGGAATCCAACTATGGTGCCAACAAAAATCTATAGGAATTGAGGAGTACTGTATTCAAATAACGTTCTTAAAATGTTTGCTTCTTTGTATATTGAGACCCAGTAAGATCCTATTATCCAACCACTTCGTCGCCTTTATCAGTGAAGTAGAAGACATGTACAGGTTATGCAAGCTCCAAGAGTCGTGCAATTTTGAAAATCTTTACACTATTCTGTGCCTGGATTAGCAGAGGGAACTGCTGGACAAGATAATTCTGTAGACCTCTCTTGGGTCTCTATTTCTCTTACTCCAAATTCCAACAGGCATCTCATGATCATTCAGCTCCCCAGGTCCAAGATTTCAGATACACTTACTGCCTGCAAAAGGGAAAAGCGCTGGTGGTGGGGTCACAGAGGAGACAGGAAGAGATCCAAGTATGCACAATTAATAGGCAGTGGTGGAGGCTGGGGGGCGGGGGGGGGGGGGGGGAACGTGTGGACTGCTGAGGAAACACCAGAGCCACACATTCCAAATGCTAAGTGGGCCTGCGAACGCCCTGAAAACCCTTCCCAAGTTAGCGCTAATGTTCTTTCAAGAAAAAGAATGAACTCCCAGGTCCCTAAAGCCCCAGGGTGAGCCAGCTCTGGAACAGCTAATTCTAAGAGCGCACCGAGGGGCTGCAGGTACGTGGGCTGCACTTGGGGACGCGTCCGGAGTTGGTGGGAAAAAGCCATCCACTCCGACCCCCACTGGCTCAGCGTCGCCGCGGCTTAGCTGAGACACACACGGATTCGAGGCTTCCTAGAAAACGGCGTGGCCAAGGCCGCGTTTGCAGCTCGACGCTCGCCGACCCAGAGCCGACCAGCTCAACTCTCAGGCGGCGGAAGGAGGGAGGCGAGGCTGAGGTGGGGGGCGCGCGGGCTGGCCGTGCATTCGCCGGTCCCCTCTGCCCAGACCAAAGCGCGCGGGCCCCGACTCGGGACGGCCAAGGTGGGCTGTCCCTGGAGTTTCAGAGTTGGAGGGCAGAGGGGAGAGTGCTGGCGCCGGCAGGCCGGGCTAACCCACCGGGAAGGGGAGCGAGGGAAGGAGGTGCTTTGCACGGACCAGCGCCGCGGGCTTCCAGAACCCCGTGCGGGCGCAGCCCCGGGCGCCCCGGACACACCCACTGCGCCCCGGCGCCGCCGATAGCCCGCCCGCACGGCCGTGCAGAGCGGGCAGAGGAGGTAGCAGGGGCTGGACCGGGTCGGAGCGCGCGGGCGGAGCGCGGGGGGCGCGGGCAGCTCTGCTCACCTGGGGGTCCACGTCCCGGAGCGGCCGTCGGCCGCCTCCCTCACCTCGCCCAGTGTAGTTCCCGGCGCTGGGCAGCCCGCGCCCGCCGCCGCCCCGCGCCCACCCAGCACGGGCTCCCGCTGCGCCCCGGTTCCGCGTCGGGCTGCGCGGGCGGCTAGTGGCTCGGGCGCGCGCGGAAAGCGCTGGCTCGGAGTTTGCGATCCGGAGAGCCTGGACCCGCGCTCGCTGCGTCCCGCCTCCCTCCCCCATTCGCGGCCTCCTGCTGTCATCTGGAGCCGCTCCTGCCGCCCCCTGGCGGCCGCCTCGGGAAGGACAGGCCCCAGTTCACCCCTGGGACTCCTGAGGGTCCCCTTGCAAGGATGAGCAAGGAGGATCCTTGGTATTATCCCGTATATGGGAGGACAGACTCTACCAGAGGTTTAAAAAGTCCTCAAACTTTTTAAACAGGGGGCCAGTTCACTGTCCCTCAGACCGTTGGAGGGTCGGACTATAGTTTAAAAAATAACTATGAACAAATTCCTATGCACCCAGCGGTGGCAAAAACACCCGGCGGGCCGCATGTGGCCCACGGGCCGTAGTTTGAGGACCCCTGCTCGACAGAGGCAAGGAGGACAAGAGCGGTCCTGGCTGGCCAGGACTAGTGAGACCAGTAGATAAGGTAAGGCCAGATGGTGGAAGGTCTTGAATTTCATGTGAATCTTATCCTGAGGTCTGTGGGAGTCAGGGAAGGACTGAAGCCCAGGGGGAACACGGCATCCTCAGGTTTTGGAACAACCATTCTGGCTGCAGCAGTATAGGCCTGAGGCTGAAGCAGGGAGCCAGCAAGAAAAATTATTCTGTAAATCAGAGCAGAGAAGGCAGTGACTGTAAGGATAGCGAGGGATACGCCCTTGTCTAAAGAGGATGCACAGTCACACTCCCCGGCATATTCACACACAAGAGCAGCCTTCTGGATGCAAGAGAAAAAGACAAGAGTCCTGCAAATTCGACCTGGGGCTGGACAGCATGGGGGAGAGAGAAACTCCCTGACAGGAGCATGGCTTCTTGTCTTATTCGGGGTAAAACTTTGGGAAGAAAAGAACTGCCACAACATCATCATCGTCCTCATCCTCACCATCCAGCTGTGATCTGTATATCCAAGCCCCTCTTTTTACTAATTTGGAAATTGTCCCAAAGAGGGCAGGATCAAAATTACACAGCTCGATGGTGTCTAGTTAACTGGAGCCCACGTTTCTTGACTCCTGATGCAGTACTACATCCTTTACCTTCAAACAGAGGTGTTTAGGGCTAGTGAGGTAGGAAATAGAGTGACAGAGAGGAAGTGTCCCTCCTCTCCAAGGAGGGGAGGGTGGCCTGAAACATTGGAAGCAGCTGTCCAGACACAGGCAGTCTCCCTAAATATGAGTCACCTGTGTGTTTATCACTGCCTCCCAAGTACACCAGCAGGAGTTGTTTTGAAAGTGCAGGTACAGGGTGGACAATGAAGGCAGTGATAGAAGGCAAGCTGCCTGTCCCAGAGCCAGGCTAAGCCAGGGATGGGTGCCCTGTATGGGAGAGAAAGGAGAGCAACAGGGCAGAGAACTCTGAGGGGGTGTGGGAGGGGAGTGAGGGGAGTGAACAAAAGAGAAAGTGGCAAAGTTAGGCCAATGAAAGAGAATCAAATTTGAGTGCTGACTACTGCCCCAGAGCCTGGGCAGAGCCAGTTCTCACTGATTCACTGGCTCAAATGGGTTGAAATAATTCCACACTTGATCAAACAGATTCTGATTGCAGGCACCTGGTGTGAGTGGGATTAAATTAATTCTGAGTGTCACAGGTCCCATAGGTCCAGGTTAAGTGGATCTAACAGTTCTAGTCAATTTTGGCCAATTTAAGCCATTTAACATGATAGAAAAATAATACAACATCAGAGTGTACTCAAAGCCATTGAATTATACACATAAAAATGGTTAAAAGTATATATTTTATGTAATGCATATTTTACACAATTTTTAAAAAGAAAGTAAAACATAAAAACGTGTTTGAATTGATTTATCAATTCATTTAAGAGATATGTACGGAATACTGAAAAGGGCTTGGTGTTAGGAGGTAAGGGTGAAATGAAAAATTTTTTCCAGTCCAAAAGAAGCTCAGAATAAGGTGAGGAAGTTGTCATATAATCAGGAAATCATACTAGTAGGTGGTAGGTATACTTGGGGATCTGCAGAAGCATCTGAGAGCTCACAGGAAGGGAGGGGGAATCTGAGATGTCCCTCCTGAGCTGAGTTTTAGAGGATGAGGGGAGTTCATCAGGCAGGGCTTGTGGGTTTATTAGTCTTTTGGGGGGAAAAAAAACTAATTTTAGATTTACAGACAAGTTGCAAAAAATAGTACAAAAAAATCCCTTATATCTCCCACCCTTATATCTTCCCCTAATGTTAACATATTACAAACCAAAGTGTACTTATTTATTGACCAAACTTGATCCATCAAACCTAGTCTGGCTCTTCAGAGCTGCTTCTGGTCCACTTCAAATTGCTTTGACCATATTTTGTTTGCAGATAATGTTCTTTATTTGAAGTCAAGACTATATTGCAAAATCTGCTCACATTTTACATGAAAAGGTATTTGCATTGCATATAGCCACCTGTGTATTAATTATTAAAAGCAAGTTTTTAATCTTTCAGTCCAGGTATGTTTCTACTTTTATCCAAATGTGTATGTATGCATGCGTCAGATTGGCAGGATTTGGTCCCAGGTAGGAAAGGAGCTACTAACCCTCAGCAGTAGAGGGGACAAAGCGGGGTGGGTGCCTCGGATCACAGAGGCCGCCGCACGGGGCCTCCCTGGCGTGTCAGTGTCTTCTATGCACAACATCTTGGCGGGTGGGCGTTAGTTACCCGGTGGCGTATCTCAGTGCATACTGTCGTGGGAGGCTCTCTATTAGAAAGCCCCTTTCCATTTGAACTGAAAACTTTCTCCTTGTGACTACTCCCCAGTGGCAGACAAAAAGCATAACTTTCTGCATGTGTGAGCTCTGTATATGCGGGACAGTCCTAGCTCACACCTGATTTCCAGGTGTAATGACTAATTTATGATTAATAGTGCCCCCTTCACTCTGTTGTCCCAGTTGAGATGCTACATGATCTGGTCCTCCGTGCAGAAGACGTCCACCACCCGCCTCACTAAGGCTGCCCCTGCGAGGCCAGTCCCAGCGTCCAGCCAGTCCTCCCGAGGGGTCCGCCTGGAGCAGAGTCAGCGTACCGCGAGGGTGCCCAAGTGCTGGAGGCTGCTGAGACACTTTCTTGCTCCAGCAAGGTACTAGGACCCATCACAATACTTACAAATTGTTTCATTTTCTTGGTTGTAACCTTTGTAGCCTATAAAGTCAAGGCGAGCTTGTATCCAGTGAATAATAAGGAAATAAGGGAAGTGCCACACAACCCTTTAGAGCTGGTAAATTTGTCATTGTTTTAAGGAGTTTCTAAGCCCCCAGGGTGTTTCAAGAAGCAGGTTGCCTCCTTAACTCAGTTCCTTGGATTTCAGAGCAGGGTGTGAACAGGCCACAGGAGAGCAGCGTGGGACCCCGGACCCATGTTGGGACTTGGGAGTCACACACCTGCTCTTCAGGAGGAAGCACTGACCACAGGGCCTTTCACCAGCACAACGTTTCTGGGGCTGAGAGTCCCAAAAATTACAGTTTGAAAAACACTGCTCTGCATTCTCGGCAAACACTGGTGTTTTCATCCTAATGGCATTTCAGGGGGCTGCGTCCCAGCAGGGAAGGAAACCCTTATATTATCCCGACTTTGTTAATGTTTGGGAGGCGGAAGGGAAACAGACATGTATTCAAACCCCTAATTTCAGGCTCCAGCAAGGTACTAGGACCCATCACAATACTTACAAATTGTTTCATTTTCTTGGTTGTAACCTTTGTAGTGTGTAAAGTCAAGGCGAGCTTGTATCCAGTGAATAATAAGGAAATAAGGGAAGTGCAACACAACCCTTTAGAGCTGGAAAATTTGTCATTGTTTTAAGCAGTGTCTAAGCCCCCAGGGTGAGTTTCAAAAAGCAAGTTGCCTCCTTAACTCAGTCCTTTCTCTTCCTACTCCAGAGCCTTTGGGATGTTGACCTCAAGACTGCTCTGTGCCCCTGCCTGGGGCTGGCTCCCTGCTGGACCTGTGACCCAGGACCAGGCAGAGAATGGAAATCTGCAATCACCACTCCAAGGGCAGAAGCAGAATGGTTTCTAGGTGGAAAACCAAGGTTTCCCATGAAGTGTTGGAGCCTCAAGCTACATTTCAGGTTCCAATTCTCATTAGAGCTTCACTCTCATTCTTTCTTGCCCTGTGTCCAGTCAGCGAAGATAGAAAATTTCATGTTACCTTGTACAAGACAGCTTTTGGAATCCCAAATATTCAAATGATTTCCCTTTTGCCTCTTTGCAAATGATAATACCCACCGCGAGGAGGCATCACCCAGACGGCAGCCGCCCTCTCGAGGAGTAGCCACGCTGAGCTGGTTGGAAGGTGGACATGGTGGCCTCCAGATTCTCAGGCTTCCTATCTCCTGGTGATAATTAGCCAGGTGAAGACAATAGCCACCTTTGGAATAAGTCCATTTCCAAGTGCCTGCCTCTCTCAAACATGATTGATCATTCACTCATGTTTATTGAAGCCAACTATGAATGATTGAAGGGAAGATGAGAATTGTTAACCAGAGTCAAAGGGGGTGGTGTAGGAGAGACCATTCCAGACAGAAGGACGCACACGTGCAAAGGCCCTGAGGGGGGCCGGATGCACTCAGGGAGCACAGGAAGGGCTGTGTGGCCGGGGCTCAGAATCCAGGACGGAGAAAGGAGGGAGGTGCCGGGAGCAGGAGGGCGTGATCTGACTGTGTGGAGCCTTCCCGCCATGACTAATAATCCTTTGACAACCACAAAGGAATGGGCATGTTGCATCAGAACAGATACAAGCCATAGGTGGAAGCAGGGTTCCGGAGCCCTCTGCTGTACCAGAGGCTGGATTTGGGGGAGATCCAAGGATCCCAGAGTGGAAGTAGTGAGGGCAGCTTGGGGTAGTGGCTGTTAGTCGACCAATACGGAAGTATATCATTTTGTAAACGATTGGAAAAACTGTTCTGTGCGAATCTGTTAAAAGTCAGTGATGCTTATGGCCATTTTTGCGCATTGGGTTATTTTCAAATGAGCAAGAGGAAGCCTCTGAGGAGTTTACGTGGAAGCTAACATGATCAGATCTGTGTTTATCCAAAGGGAGAGGGGAAAAAACATCCCTTTGTTATTAAGGGAAAAAGAGGTAATACAAAAACATCATTCCACAATTCTTTTGTAATGAAAAACAATAAATGCAAAATAAAACAACCCCATCGTTCTAAAAGAACACCCTGTGCTTGCCTTCCCTGCTTCCTGGGAGACTCCTAATAAGGTCCCGTCCCTCACCGTCCCCAGCTGCCCTTGTGACAAGCACTGCAAGCCTCCAGGACAGCAGGGGTGAGAGGTCTCCAGCGGGAAGCAGGGCCTCCCTTTGAGGCTTAATCAGCTTACACTGTGCCTGAAACTGCTGTCACCTTGGCCTCTTTGGCAATTTTCCCTCTTTAGTAAACTGGCTTTAGTGTTGAATGAATTTGTTTTTATAAAGTCTCAGAGATACCGCATATCTAGTGAACACTGGGCAGGTATGGTTTGTGTATAAACCCAGGGCACTTCAGACCAGGAAGGCACACAGTCTCCAAGTTCATTGCTTTTGCTTGCCCGCTCACCTTTGTCTTGCCTCTGTTTTCAGTGTATAGAGGACCTACTGTGTGCCAATCATGAAATCTTGCCAGACTTTGCTGCCAAGATTCTGTGGGTCCTACATTCCTTTCTTTCCCTTCAAAGTTTTCTGTTTCCCTTCTCTCCGCATGATGGTGGAGTCCTCTACTCAGGGACAGCAGTTTAGGGTGGAAAAAACGGCCGTGAGTGCCCCAACTACCACGCGGGCATCACCGCTCCTAGCCCCGCCATCGAAGAAATCCCCAAATGTGTCTCCTGGTCTGTAAACGGAGAGAGCATGTGTATTCCTGTTGGAAGGAAAGGGGACTGGCTCACACCAAGTGTTGAAGCCCCTTCCAGCTCTCAGATCTGTGACTCTCAGAAACTGCAACAGGAAAGTTATGCAGCTCCTTCTGGATCCATCTGGGAAAAGATGACATACACAGAGAAGTATGTGACTTCTCTTTAAAAATCTCAAGCTGCACTTGAAATGGCTGCTTTCACACCCTGTAATGTAGAAAATGACCACGCAACTGCAGTGCCCCTTCACAGCTTCGAGGGAAAACTGCCCACGGCCACATCCGGAGCGGTTCAGACTCCCTGGGATGGCCCCTGAGGTCACTCACTGGGGTCGGATGAGACCAGGCCTGCTGCGTGGGCCAGCCCTGCGGTGGCTCCTGTGTTCCTCCAGAGTCACTGCCAGCCAAAAGCTGCAGGATCCATGTCCATGCCAGCTTCTTCCCACGTTCATTTTCCCTATTTCAAATCATCGAATTCTAGCGGTGAGAGAGAGCATCTCCCCTTACACAGGTAAGGGGTGGGAGTTAGTCCATGGGTGGAGAAAACGGGGATCTTGTGCTGTCAGAAAGAGACATCGAAACCACTAAGCACATCTTGAGGTTCAAATCTCTTGCGAGTTAAAGCTGAGGACTTCAGGCCCTACTCAAAGCATATTTAACCTATTCACCTTATCTTTTTCCTTCGTTGGGGTTAAAACAAAAACACTGCTGCCCTGGCCAGTTTTGCTCTGTGGATAGAGCATTGGCCTGTGGACTGAAAAGTCCCAGGTTCGATTCCAGTCAAAGGCACATAACAGTTGCAGGTTTGATCCCTGGTCCTGGTCAGGGCAGGTGCAGGAGGCAACCAATTGATGTCTCTCTCTCTCTCTCTCATCGATGTTTCTTTCTGTCTCTTCCCCACCTTTCCACTCTCTTTAAAAATCAATGGAAAAATATCCTCAAGTGAGGATTTGAAAAAAACAAAGCAAACAAACAAAAATACTGCTGGGTCTCCCTCATGGGCTCGTCCAGAGGCTCAGCCCAGTACGTGGACACAAGTTCCTACTACTACCCACGCCCCTTTCCAGAACTCTTCCAGGTCTTTTCAGGAAGAGTTCCGAGGCCTGAGAAGCATTTCTACTCAAGTATTGGGGGACTACCATCTCCCAAGCAGCGGGGCGACTGCCTCACCTTTGTACCTGCTCTTGCAGCTGCTCTTGTAGCCGTCAGAGAGCAAGCAGTGTGAAGGTGGGTGGCTTTACACAGGCAGAGCTCCCCCTGCCTTCCTTGCTATGGCAGCCTGAAGGGCAGGTTCCCAGGAGTAGGAGGGTAGGTGGAAGGGTGCCGAGTAGAGTGGACAGGAAACTAGATATGATTCAGAAAAACAATAGCAGCTGGTGTTAATCTGCTTTAGCCATGGGACCTTGAGCAATCACTTAACCTCTCTGAGCTTCAGTATCCTCACCTGCAGAGTGGGACTAGCACTCACTGCTGACTTGTGCTCACTGGGGAAATGGGTAGGGAGCGCTCTCATGCCCTCTGTCCTCCCTCTCAGAGCTCCAAGTCACAGGGAAGGTGGGCTGTGTACTTGGTCGGTCCCTTTTGTCTGATTAGCTATGTTGTCATTCTTTCATTGTCATGGGGACGTTCCAAAGGATGAATGAAGGGTATGGGATCAAGCAGAGAACAAACATAAGCAAGAACAAGTGTGCTGATTAAGATACACACTTCTCCTGACCCGTCCTAGGAGTGGAAAATACCACACAGTGGGAAAGAAGCCAAATCACCTTGACATGCAATTGGATATTGTGGGGTGAGGGGTGGGGAAATGGCAAAGGCCTGCCTGGCTTGTTTTATGTTTTCTTTTTTCTTTTCATCTCTCTCTCTCTCTCTCTCTCTCTCTCTCTCTCTCTCTCTCTCTCTCTCTCTCTCTCTCTTTCTCTCTCTCTCTCTCTCTCTCTCTCTCTCCTTTCTTTTTGCTGAAACAGATTGTTGCAAGGAGAGAAAATAAACTCATTTTCACAAAATTAACTTTAATTGGAGGTCAAACGTTTTACTTGTCAGCATCTGAAGTTCCCTTGAAGCTAATAAGAACCATCTCTGTACAATGGTTTCATGAAGAGGAGACATCTGAGCTGTGGAAGATACATAAGTTTTACAGCCTAACAGATGTGTGCCTGCACCCTCGCTCTGCTAACTTATTAGCTGTAAGACTTTGGAAAAGTTACTTATTAGAGTAAGTATTTCAACTCTAGGGTTGAGATAACAACTTAAGGAAATGGTCTGGGTAGTCATTACTGAGGGTCGCCATTTCCTCCTTAGGGACAAGAGAGGATTTAATTTCCCTGTCCCTGGGAAGTTAAATGTGGCTATATGACTTTCTTTGGCCAATGGAAGGTGACTTCTCCTTTTAAAAATAAAAATAAAAAAAGGAAAAGACCGAAAAGCTTGCAGATGTTTTAAGAATCTACAAATCATCATGTTACATTTCCATTGGTGCTATGATTATGGAAGCTACTGCCAGGATGTAGCTTCAGTTAGCCTGGTTCTCAGAGGTCTGTGGTGAGCAAAGCACCCACTACTCCTTGCTGTAGGTATAGCATCTTTTGTTGTGTTAAGCCACTGAGATTTGGGTTTGTTTGTTATTGCAGCAAAACCTAGGCATACTATGACGTGTACAGTGGTGGTTACAATAAAATGTGATGGTGCTTGTAAATACCATTTGGCAGTGGCAAAGTGCTTGAAAAGCTTTGTTATTCCACTACACAGAGGCAACTGTGCTGATTAATGGGCTCAAATTAAGGGGCAACTTCTTGCACAAGTCAGGCAGGCTTTCAAAGGCTGCAACTCACTCCAGACTATTTGTCTCCACCCAGGGCCAGAATCAGGAAAATCCTGAAAAATCTGCCCTAGTAGATCTGCCAGGATGACCTAAATGCCACCTCTGCCTTTGAAAAAGCTCCAGTTAAAGGGTCAATCTGTGTCCTGAAAGGGGGACTGCTCTGAGGAAATCGCCAGGCTCTTAGGTGGAGAGATGCTAAGGAATGGGGGGAGAGGGGGAGGACATGATCGCGGGAGGGTCTGGAAGAACAGCATCTAGAACCGAGGCCTGCATCATGGTGGGAAGTCCTTGGCAATGGAGAGTTTAAGCATACTTCTGCACATGTCTCTGTCTCTCCTCTCGCCACGCTATGTAGTCTATCCTCCCAGATTAATTCTTTTCCTCACACTTCCACAACAACTTGTTGAGAGTCATTCTTTATGCCACCAACTCTAACCTCAATTCCAGGGTCCCATTTCCTGGAAATGTTGGCAGTCTCTTCAAGTCAATGTGTCACGGATAGAACACATCACCTCCCACCTCACCACCACCAAAACCGTGTCCCATTCCTTACTCCATATCTGGATGCTGGGGAAACATCTTCCCAATCACTCAAGCTCAAAATCACACAGTTTTTATGGCCTTCTTGGAACACTCTTCTTTCCATTAATGTGAAAAGGAAAAATGCAGACAAAACAAATAACATAAGGTATTATTTGGGCCAGGTGAGGTTGTGGTTCAATCTTGGTGTGAGTTTATTGCTGTGAAAATTTGTCTTGAGGGGAATGTCTCTGATAGTGGAGGTACGATGTGGACTGCCTAACTCTTTCAGGCCATAGTAAAGGGTTGTTGCTGGTCAATGAAATTTAAAATGAAACTTTTTTCAATAAATTTCATAAACATAAACTAAGATTCCATTTCCCACTTAGCCAATGACCAATGATTTAAAAAGCAAAATGAGATGTGAATTCCAGAAAAGATGGGATAAGAAAGGACACACTAACTGCAACGATAAATCCTGGACAGATGGATGGAGCAGCTCTCTGAGGACTCTGAAACATAAATTGTAGCAAGCAGATTAGGGAAGGAAGACAGAATGCAAAGTCCCACTAGCCCAGCAGTGGGCTTGCCATTTTTTCATTTTTTATTTTTTCCTTCAGAGTTTTATTTTTTCATTTTTTATTTTTTCCTTCAGAGTTTTATTTTTTCATTTTTTTTTCATTTTCATTTTTTTTTCATTTTCATTTTTTATTTTTTCCTTCAGTTGTCCAACTGAACTCAAGGAAGGCAGAAACTCCGCAGTGTGCACCAGGGCAGAAGAAGCTTCCAGAGAAGCCCTCTTCTTCTGTCCAACAAACAAGAAAGGGGGCTGCTAACCGTCAGAGAGATGGGGGATATCCTCTGGCTTTTGCTTCTCTTCTCTTTTTTTTGTCTTTAAATTCTTTATTAGTTAAGGAATTACAAATGTGTCCTCATCCCCCTCCCGCCCCCCACTCATGCTC